GCTTGTCATAATTCCTGAAAATTCATTACATAAGGCTTCATTAGTTGACCCAAAAATAATATCATCAACATAAATTTGCACAATTATGAGATCTTTTCCTTTTGTTTTGACAAAAAGTGTGGAATCGATCTTTCCTTTTGCAAATCCATGTGAGATGAGATGTTCGGTAAGCCGCTCATACCAAGCTCTAGGAGCTTGTTTGAGTCCATAAAGGGCCTTATGAAGTTTAAAAACATGATTTGGAAAATCAGGATTTTCAAAACCGGGAGGTTGTTCAACATAAACGTCTTCTTTCAACCACCCATTTGAAAAAACACTTTTTACATCCATTTGAAAAAGTTTGAAATTAAGAGCACTTGCAAAAGCTAATAACATTCGAATAGATTCAAGCCTAGCAACCGGAGCAAAAGTTTCATCATAGTCAAGTCCTTCAACTTGGCTCTAGCCTTTAGCAACAAGTTGACTTTTATTGGTGATAATAACACCATTTTCATCAAGTTTGTTTCTAAAGACCCATGTAGTGCCCACAACGGGTTGGGTTTCTGGTCTTTAGACTAGTTCCCAAACCTTGTTGCGTTCAAATTGCTCAAGCTCTAGTTGCATGGATATAATCCAATCACTATCTTTTAGCGCATCTTCTACGTTCTTAGGTTCAAATTGACTAACGAACGCATAGTGTGCACAAAGATTGTAATTGTTCCTAGTTCTAACTCCCTTTTCAATATCTCCAATGATATTGTCTCTCGGATGATTCTTCAAGTGTTTGTAAGCCTTTGGTAGTTCCTTCTTTTCGTTTTCTTCTTCTTGTGCAGGAATTTCCAGGATTTTTTCTTCCTCTTCTTCTTCATTTGAACCTGCAATTACCTTACTCGACCCAAAGGGATCGGTTTCATCAAATTTCACATGCATAGATTCTTCTACTTTATGATTTGATTTATTATATACCCTATAGGCTCTACTATTTGTTGAATAAACAAGGAAAATTCCTTCATTTGATTTAGGCTCAAATTTGCCTAAATGATCATTGGCATTCAAAATATAGCATTTACACCCAAAAACTTTGAAATAGGAAATGTTTGGTTTTCTACCTTTCCAAAGTTCATAGGGAGTCTTTTTAATAATAGGTCTAAGTAATACCCGGTTAAGAACATAGCATGCCGTGTTGACCGCTTCTCCCCAAAAATATTGAGGTAGGTTGTGTTCATTCAACATGGTCCTTGGCATTTCTTGCAACGTCCTATTTTTCCTTTCAACAACCCCATTTTGTTGAGGTGTTCTAGGAACCGAAAGGTTGTGAGAAATACCGTGTTCATCACAATATGTCTCAAAATCGGTATTCCGGTATTCTCCTCCTCTATCACTTTTAATAGAGGTTATTTCATAACCTTTCTCATTTTGGATTCTCTTGCACAACTTAAAAAGCGCATTAAACGCATCATCTTTATTGGCAAGTAATATAGTCCAAGTATAACGAGAAAAATCATCTACAATCACAAAAGTAAAACTAGCTCCACCTAGGCTTTGAACGTCTACAGGCCCAAATAAATCCATATGTAATAATTCAAGTGGCCTTGACGTTAAAACCATTTTTATGGGATTAAATGAAACTTTATGTTGTTTTCCAAGGGAGCAAGCATCACAAAAACGAGAAGTAGGTATGCTCATTTTTGGTAGCCCAACAACAAGTTCTTTTGAGTAAAGTTTTCTCAAAAGATCATAACTAGCATGTCCTAGTCTACGATGCCATAATGTTGAAAATTCAAGTGAAGTAGTAAGACAAGTGATTTTCGAGTTACCCAAGTCATTGGAATTGAACTTGTATAAGTTTCCATCTCTTTTAGCCTCAAAAATGATTTCATCTTTATTTTGGCCTTATAAAATGTTAGAATAATAGACCAACGCTAGAGGGGGGGTGAATAGCGTTTGATCAAAAAACGCAGGAATAAAAAATGAATAAACGAGAAGTAAAGAGAAGAGTAAGAGGCACACCGATTTTACCCTGGTTCACCACAACTTGTGGCTAATCCAGCCTCCCGAGAGACTCTCTCGAGCTACACTACTATCTCGTTAAGCTTAACGGTGCTTAACAAACCCGTACAACTTGAGAATTCGAGTCACACGAACCTCAACGAACCTTCGAAGGAAACAGCCCTTCCTTCGAGCAACAAGAGAAATACTTTCTCTTGTCAAGTGTCTAAGAACACTAAAAACACTCAAGAACAATACTCTCTTTAAGAGTGAATAATGAGTAAACTAAGAACGCTCACAACACAAGCTTCACAAAAATGGCTCTCAAAAGCTATGAAAAATTGAAGGATGATTTGCAATGAAAGAGTAGAAGTTGTGAAGTAATGTGATATGTAAAACAGACCCAAACACCCCATTTTATAGTGGAAAAGTAGGCTCCAACGGACCAAAACATTTAA